AGGGAATGGCAGAGGGTGATCCTCCCTCCTATGGTGAAAGGCAGAGGGTGGTCCTCCCTCCTATGGTGAAAGGCAGGGGGTGGTCCTCCCTCCTATGGTGAATGGCAGGGGGTGGTCCTCCCTCCTATGGTGAATGGCAGGGGGTGGTCCTCCCTCCTATGGTGAATGGCAGGGGGTGGTCCTCCCTCCTATGGTGAATGGCAGGGGGTGGTCCTCCCTCCTATGGTGAATGGCAGGGGGTGGTCCTCCCTCCTATGGTGAATGGCAGGGGGTGGTCCTCCCTCCTATGGTGAATGGCAGGGGGTGGTCCTCCCTCCTATGGTGAATGGCAGGGGGTGGTCCTCCCTCCTATGGTGAATGGCAGGGGGTGGTCCTCCCTCCTATGGTGAATGGCAGGGGGTGGTCCTCCCTCCTATGGTGAATGGCAGTGGGCGGTCCTCCCTCCTATGGTGAAAGGCAGAGGGTGATCCTCCCTCCTATGGTGAAAGGCAGAGGGTGGTCCTCCCTCGTATGGTGAATGGCAGAGGGGGGTGCTCCCGAATGGCAGGGGGTGGTCCTCCCTCCTATGGTGAATGGCAGGGGGTGGTCCTCCCTCCTATGGTGAATGGCAGGGGGTGGTCCTCCCTCCTATGGTGAATGGCAGGGGGTGGTCCTCCCTCCTATGGTGAATGGCAGGGGGTGGTCCTCCCTCCTATGGTGAATGGCAGGGGGTGGTCCTCCCTCCTATGGTGAATGGCAGGGGGTGGTCCTCCCTCCTATGGTGAATGGCAGAGGGTGGTCCTAAGGAGCTGCACTCAAGGGAACTTTCTGAGGTGACTGAAGTCGTCTAAAATCTCCATTTTTAGTGAATGAATAAACTTTTGTGCAGACTTAAAAATCTGGGTATTCTCGAAAACCAAAAAATGAAACAAACAAAATCTGGGTATTTAGCAAGGTGCTGGAGGTGGTGGTGGCGTTTGCCTTTAATCCCAGCCTCAGAGGCAGAGGCAGGTGGATCTCTGTGAGTTCAAGGCCAGTCTGGTCTATAGAGCGAGTGCCAGGACAGCCAGGACTACACAGAGAGACCCTGTCTCTAAAAACAAAACAAAAGCCCTGCCCATAGGTGCGTGAGGAGCACCACTGTGGCCATGCCCAAGGTCTCATTCGAGCAGGTGGGGAGGCAAGGCGAGGCGAGGCCTGGGGGGCTTCCCAGTGGGAGGAGTCCTTAAGCCTCCACGGGAGGTTCACAAATGGTTGGCCCCATTCCTGCCTAGGAACCCTACAGCAGGCTTCCTTCAAGGTCTCCGGGCTCCTTGGGTGAGCAGACAGCCCTTTTTCCAGGAGGGCGGGTAGGCGAGCCAGGCGTGGGTGTGGAGAAAAATAACACAGCTTATTTTATTTAACAGATTGTATTGTTGAATGGTATCCCTCTAAATGTACTGAATTAAAGAAAATTATCATTAAACAAAACAAAATGTAAAGAAAAAAAAAAAGAGCAAGAGCAAAATTTTAGGGACTCCTAAAATTGTAGAAGTAGGAATAACGGGTTATCAATATTTGGAGAATGGCTGGTAGCAGTCACATGGGGACAAGTTGTCCAGGTGAATAGCATGTGCCTTAGCATTGTACTACAGGGTCACCCATCAGAGTGATAGAACTGCTTCCTAGTGACAAGTCATAGGAAATCAAGTTGCTTTGTTTGTTTCTTGAGTCTACGTAGCCCGGGGTGGGCTTAACTAAACCTTCCTGCCTTAGCCTTGAAAATGCCATGTGCAGAGTTCCACTTATAGACTTTATATTACAGGGAAAGCAAGCATCAACTGTTTTTTTTTTGGGGGGGTAGCTTGAGACAGGGTTTCTCTGTGTAGTGCTGGCTGTCCTGGAAAACTCTGTAGACCAGGCTGGTCTTGAGCTCTGTCTCTGCCTCCCGAGTGCCAGGATTGAAGGCGTGCACCACCATTGCCTGTCTGCAAGCCTCAAAGTAAAGAAACCTGGGCATTTCAGGGTGTCATCCTGAGAGTCAGCAAGAGGGAAAACTAGGAAGTACTGGAGTTGAGAAGCTCCTCAAGCATGGAAGCTGAGCCCATGGGTGTGTGGAAGGGGCCCTAGCAGGGAGACAGCACAGGCGGGGGCCTGGCTGAGCAGGCAGAGGGGCTTGCTGCCAACCCTGAGAGTTCAATCTCCAGTATCCACATGGTAGAAGGAGGGAACTGACTCCTTCATGTTGCCCCTTGACCCTTTTAATCCTCAAACTAAATGAAAATCTTTTGTTTCTGTTTTTTTCAAGCACACAGGAGTTCCAAAGGTGCTGCAATGCAAATGAGGCTATGCCAGAGCCAGGCACCATCAGTCAATAAGCGAAGGCTCACTTCACTCCAACCCCTTATTCACACTTGGGTGAATTTTGTTGTTTTTACAAGTCTAGGAAGAGACCTCAGACCTCCACTCACACTGCACACTGGGCCAGCTTTGTGCTTCTGCTCTGCTACTGCAGGTCCACCAGGAGAAACAGGCGAACCTCCACAGGGCAAACCACACACTGCTGAAAACTGGTATTTAGCGAACACCTGCTGCACAGCACTTACCAAGTCAGTTGTGCTAATGCTACACCAGGCCAGGCAAGGTAGTACATGTCCTTAATTCCCGTACTCTTGATCTTGAGTTCAAGGCCAGGGCTACACAGGGAGACCCGACTCAAGAAATAAAGTGCTACAGCCAGTCCACTTTTTAGCTGCTGAAACCTAGGCCTAAAGAACAGAGATCACATGACCAGAATCACCCGCCACCAAAGTCAGACCACTGTGTCTGGCGTCAGTTTAAAATGTCTTTGTTTCTGTTATTGCCACAATTTTTGCAGGCAAACTTTAAATTGCGAAATGTCCATTTTTAGTATTTTCTGACCTTAGGTGAATAAACTCTTGCAGATATAGTCTGGGCAGACATTAAGGTTATACTTACCATGTACTTTTAAAAAGATGGGTTGTTATGCCGGTTGTTGGTGGCACATATCTTTGATCCCAGCACTAGGGAAGCAGAGGCAGGTGGATCTCTGAGTTCGAGGCCAGCCTGGTCTCCAGAGCGAGTGCCAGGATAGGGTCCAAAGCTACACACAGAGAAACCCTGACTCGAAAAACAAAACAAAACAAAACAAAACAAAAAGATGGGTTGTTGGGTTGTTGCTGGGTGGTGGGAGGTGCACAGCTTTAATCCCAGCACTCAGGAGGAAGAGGCAGGAGGATCTCTGTGAGTTCGAGGCCAGCCTGGTCTACAGAGAGTTCCAGGACAGGCTCCAAAGCTACAGAGAAACCCTGTCTTGAAACCAGGTGTCCCCCCCCCAAAAAGGGAGTTGTACTTGTGATGCAGATATAAAAATACAGGCAAAACACCCATACACGTAAAAATAAAGATTAAAAAAGACCCCTCCCCATCTGTGGAGACACAAAAGAGTGGGCGAGGGTGACAAGGATCCATGGAACTCTCCGATGAGTTCTCTGGAGCAGGAAAGGGCAGAGAGGAGAAAGGCTGAGGCTTGAATGAAAACAGGAGCAAAAGTCTCCCCTGGAGGGGATTCTGCCAATTTCTTGGCTAGATAGTTCCTGGAGCCCAGCTCTGCTTTACAGGTACAGCATACATGACAATGCTCCTTCAAAATACATTCCTGTGGGACAGGGTCGCAAACACTTGATGTCTGTGTACTGGGTGTTGTTCCATATACACTTTTTTATTTTTTCGAGGCAGTCCTGGCTGTCCTGGAACTCCCTTTGCAGACCAGTCTGGACTCCTCCCAGGTGCTGGGATTAAAGGCGTGGCCACCGCCGTGGGCGGCTTATTACACACGCACTTACCTTCACTTACTAGTCAAACTTCTCCCAAGGCAAGATGGCCCCTGCTTCATTTACACTTGGGAAATGAAAGCTGTCTGAGGTGATAAAGTTGATTAGTGACAGCTCAAGCCCGATCCCATCAGGCCCCTCTTCCTACACACAGTTAGCTGTTCCTCCCAGGAACACAGTGTATCTGTGTAAGGTCTATGTGAGCTCCAGGATTCTCCCACCGCCTTCCCGCTTGCCTTCACATGGGAAAGTTTCTATACAGAAAGACCCACAGCTAGTTGTATATTTTTTTGTTATAAAACGTTTAATGTTAACCTACAATACAATGTAAACCTTTATGAAAAAAATTTGAAGTACACTAGATTTCTTCAGGAAATTAACTACTCAGGTGCAGTACAGGCTGGGGTACTGCATCTTTTATGGATGGATTTTCTGTTGCTGTTTTTCTCAAGTCAAAACCTCCCCCAGACAAACAGAAAACCCAACCAGCTGTAAGGTGGGAGGTCCCTGTCCAGCACCAGGCGACACCCTCTGATTTTGTGTTTTGGGTGCTACTGCTCCTTCTCAGTCAGTTTCTGAAACTCTTTTGTTGGCCTTGGCAATCATTAGCAATTTTCCTAAGAGCAGATCAGTTGGAGACTTTTAGTTTTTTAAACAGACAGGAATTCTCCTGCCATCTCTCCTCTGTTATCTCATGGTGGAAGCAAGCAAGGAGAAAAAAACCAAAAACAAACCTACTTGCTGCAGATAACTCTGCCGAGGAAGACCAGATAGGACCCACTGAAGCTGCAAAACTTCAACTCACTCAGGCATCGTCGCTTCATCATCCTCATGGTCATTCAGCTGAGGTCACATCCGTGGGAACAAGGGACAGAACTTCTGTCATTCATGACATGCCCAGAAGCGAGTTAAACATAAGCAAAGGCTGGCAGGTCTCTTCACACTCACAGGTCTTAGGGAGTCCCAGATTGAATGACAACATGTCAAGTTCATACGTTACCTAGGAAGGGGGGAAACGGCACCCAGACGACACAACTAGGGGCAGCAAGAAAATGGAGCCGTGTCAAGCTCCTGGAGAACTTGGTGTGGTGGTGCACATCCACGATCCCACCACATGAGAGTGGTTAGCGGGAGGGTAGGAGTTCAAGGCCAGCCTTGGGTATGTAGCATTTGAGGCCAGCCTGGGCCACCAAAGCTCAGAGAAAAACTCAGGGGAAGGGAGAGATGACAAGAGTCAGGCAGGTCCTTCAGATAAAGCCTCCAGTACACGAACAGGTTGCCCTCAGGAGGCCCTTTTATTACTCTGGCATCTAGTATCTTTTTGTAGTTATCAAAAGGCAGGAAGCATAAAATGTACATGTTACAGAATGAGGAAAGGGGGAAAATCACAACTTCCTCAAGCAGGTGTGAGCAAGAGACTTCCACAGTACAGCTGCCTGTGTGCCAAGCAGACAGACACACAGGGACTAAAACTGGGAGGCAGGCTCCAAGTGGAAAAGCCCCTGCATAGCTGTCACTGAGATAGGACTTCATCTGAACCCATCTAGTCCCATCACTACAGTCTTGGCATTAGGTGTGGCTTCTACCCGCCCTGGCAGACAGCCAGCAGAGCTAACATTGCCCAAGGTAGAACTTAGAGCCCTGTGCTAAGGCCACAGGACATTTTCAGGTTTTCCAAAGGACTCCATGAACTAGTCCCACCCACTCCCTCTAACAGAGCAACAGCACATTGCTGCCAGAGAAAGCAGGGGCTTCTGGAGAGGACCAACACAAGCTATGCTTTCTCTTGACTGGAATGCCTTGCTTGCCTAATGACAGTATGTTAATGGTTACAGTTACTTCAGAGGGCTGCAGTGTGTCAAGCCTGTACCAGTCTAGCTAGTCCACACTTTGGAATACTTGTCAGTGCACACTGGTTGTTAATGCGTGGCTTGATCATGTACCCACAACCATAAACTAAACCATAGAGGAGACATGTAGAAGAAAAAGCCTCTGTTGCTTCAACATGGTGAAAGAGGGAGGCCAAAAGCTGCCTCTGCAAAGTGGCCTCCTCAGAAATTGAAAGGTACCTTCCAACAACTTCCACAGGCTGGGATCCCATCTCCCCTTTCTTTGAGACAGGGTCTCCTATGTAGCTCTGGCTGGCCTGGGAACTCAAGAGGTCTGCCTGCCTCTGCCTCCCAGCGCTGGGACTAGAGGTGTGCACCACCACACCTGCCATGGTTCTATCCTTAAAGCATTATTATCACACTTGCACTCAACAGGACGGGTCCCACTAGTCCTTTGGAAAGGCACTGAGCTTGGCAAGTTAGGAAAGCTGGATAGAGCAACATGTGCAGAGGGCAACCAGACCCTTCGCCACTACCTGTTACAGATGCCAAGGAAAAGCTGCAGTTATGTATAACACAGGTGTAAATCCATTGTGGAGCACAAAACCCAGAATTCTTCTCCCAGAATTGCTCCAAATGGGGTACACACGAAGCAGAACTGCACCAAAACAAATGACCTCTCTGGGATATGAGAGGAGCAGTGGCAAAAATAAGCGCAAGTTAGCCCAGGGCACCTTTATTACACTGCCTTGGGCTAAGGAGCCCAGGGCATCTGCTCTTTATCAAATAAATTTAAAAAAAAAAAAAAATACACCTAAGTCAGCCTCATTCCTTTGGTCGTTATCATTACAAAACAAACAGAAACAAAGTTATTCGTAAACTGTGAGCAGTCTGTTCCATCCTGGCTTCCGCTCCTCCTCAGGAGATGCTGCTGTAGCTGCTTGATGGAGGGTTTCGTCTGTGTTTTCTATAAAAGCAAGAATGAATGCGAGACAGAGGGAATGTCTCCTTTCCCACTGGGGACAGATGGGTCAGAAGTGAAGTCTCTTCCTGGAAGGTGTGTGCAGAGGCTGGGGAAGGTGAGTCTGCCGAGCAGGCTTGTTCACTGCTGACCCTGCACACGCACAGTGTGGTTGTGACTCTTGCAGGCAGCATGGTTTCTGATCCTTCCTTAGGATGCAGCAGTTTTCTTAAAAAAAATATTGTATTATAATAATAATAATATGAATTTATCTCTTGTTCTCTCTTTTTGTTTTTCCATTTCTTTTAGGGATTGGGGTGGGAGGGAAGAGGCAGAAAAGTGTCATTCGTCTGTCAGGTCCTGAACAAAGAGAACCTCTGTGTGGCTGAGTCCCGCCTCCTGCAGTGTGGGGGGAGTGGGCCATTCCTCTGAAGGGACACAAGGCAGGACCCGTCTTGGGAAATTGGCTTCAATCTGAAACTTCTCAGGACTTTCCTTCAAGGAGAATAAGAAGTCATGGATGACCTGTAGATGCCACACAGAAAACAGTGCAGTGAGGAGACACACTGTGAACCAGATGTCCCCAACCTTCCCCAGGGTGACCCAGGTATAAAGTAGCCATATTATAAGGGAATTCTACTGCAACTATGTTTACTTCCTTGGAAAATCATTGTGGTTTCTTTTTAAGAATTAACAAGGGCCAGGCGTTGGTGACACACGCCTTTAATCCCAGAACTCAGGAGGCAGAAGCAGGCGGATCTCTGTGAGTTGGAGGCTAGCCTGGTCTCCAGAGCGAGTTCCTCCAGGACAGCCACAGCTATGTAAAGATCCTATCTCAAAAAAATTCACACAAGCCCATCATTAGTCCTCTGAATTATGTTTTTTTTTCTTTGAGAATCTGTAGGTAAAGCCAAACAAAAAATTTTTTTGAACAATTTAACTTTATGTGCATTAGTGTGAATCCGCTGGAACTGGAGTTAGTTATGTGGGTGCTGGGATTTGAACACAGGTCCTCTGGAAGAACAGCTAGTCCTCTTAACCACTGAGCCATCTCTCCAGCCCCACAATTTTAAACTTTTTATTTACCTACCTACCTACCTACCTACCTACCTACCTACCTACCTACCTACCTAAGGCTCTCTCACAACATAGACCAGGCTGGCCTTAAACTCAGAGATCAACCTGCCTCTTCTGCTTCTCAGGGTTGAGATCAAAGGCATGCACCAGCATGAGGCAATTACACCCACCAAAGTAAACAATCTACTCAGAAATAACCAGTTACAGAGAAGCCAGAGTGTAATGCACAGAATATTTCCCCTTGGGGCTGTCTCAAATGATCTGCCAACCTGGTGTCCCATTACCCTAGAAGATATTAGTTACTTGCTTATACCTTTTTACAGAAATTATTTATTAATCTATTTGCGCGCGCGTGCACTGGTGTTTTGCATGCATTCTAGGGCAGTGAATACTGGAGTTACAGATATTGTGAGCTGCCATGTGGTTGCTGGGAATTGAACCCAGGTCCTCTGGAAGAGCAGTCAGTGCTCTTAACCACTGAGCCATGTCTCCAGCCCCTTGATAAACTTGAAATGACCTCAAAATCAGAAACTTAAAACCGATATATTGCAAAAATTCATACACTCATCCTTCAATACCATGGATCCCTCCCCCAAGCCAAAATCCTCAGACATTCAGATATAACTAAAGCATTCTTCTGTACCCTTTGAATTCTTTAATGTACTTAATGAACTGACAATATTATACACATTACTGTTTTGTTTTGGAGGTTTTATTTTGTTTTTCCTTCTTTTTTTTTTTTTTTTTTTTTTTCCTTTTTTTTTTTTTTTTTTTTTTTTTCCATAACTGGCCTCTGCCTCTGGAGTGCTGGGACTAAAAGTGTGCACTACCACGCCCAGTGACCCATTACTGTTAGGGACTAATCACACGAAATAACGATGTACCTGGGTGGTGGTGTAGCACACCTTTAGTCCAGCATTTGGGAGGCAGAGGCAGGTGGATCTCTTGAGTTTGAGTCCAGCCTGGTTTACAAAGTGAGTTCCAGGAAGGACAGCCAGGGCTACACAGAGAAACCCTGTCTCGAAAAACCAATCAACCAACAAGGGTGCAAAATTCACCCAATAATTTTATCTACAGGTGGCTGTATCCATAAACACATAACAGGAAGCTGTCTTATGTTACTATTTGGGACCCACTCTAACTGGTTTTCTTTTTCTTTATAAACTGACATAGTGTAGAATTGTATCACATATTTTAGTCTTGTCCTTTGAGTCTCCCTTAGCCTGGAAACAACCCTCAGTTCCTCTGTGGAGTTCAGTTAGGCTGTGCATCTCTGGCAGAAACCCCAGGGAGGTCAAAGGGGAACTCCATTCAGTGCACCCCACTTTGGCAGTTTCCCCACTGCAGGTACTCTCTAACTGGCGTGTTTCTGAGAGAACTCTGAGACTATGAAGGCATGTGGTTTCTCAGTCTTTTAAATTTGTTTATATTAATACAGGTTCCTCACTTCCTATTTTAGCCCAAAGGCAGTATGTTATGTCAACAGTTAGTGTTCACACTATCCTAGATGGAGTCAAGTTTGAATGGCTGGCTGGCCTCTGTGTCTTGTTCACCGTGCGCATCCTCTCTGAACAATGCCTAGCATTCTGCACAAGTTGCTCTAGGTTTTCTAGACTAATGTTTTCTTTCTTCTGGTCCAGCCCCAAAATCAGCCATTTCCAAGGACAGCATATTTAAAAAAAAAAAAAAAAAAAAAAATTCCCCCTGTGGGTTTCTCTGTGTAGCTCTGGCTGTCCAGGAACACACTCTATAGACCAGGCTGGTCTTGAACTCAGAGATCTGTCTGCTCTGTCTCCCGAAAGATGGGATCAAAGGCGTGCGCCCCCACTCCCCAGCTTATTTTAAACTGTTATCCCTTATACTTACTATTTTCTACATTTGATTGTTGGGGGGTGGCGTGGCATATACTTGCTATCATACGTACGTGGACATCAGAGAACTCTCAGGAGTTCATTCTATCTTTCTACCGTGCAGGTCCCTGGGATTGAACTCAGGCTTGATGGCAAGCACCTTCAGGCACTAAGCTCTAGCACTGGCCCCTTTTATTTTTGAGTTTGATGTACTCCAGGCTGGAGGTCCTCTGGGCCAGTAGCAAGTACTTAAATAACTTTAGTTCAAGGCCAGCCTGGTCTACAGAGTGAGTTCCAGGACAGCCAAGGCTACAAAGAAAAAGCCCGTCTCAAAAAACCAAAACAAATACACATATACATATACATTAAGTACATAAATCTTATTAAAACAAAAATCAAGGGCTGGGGATGTAGCTCAACATCAGATTGCTTGCCTAGCATCTGGGAGACCCTTAATTCCATCCCCAGCACTGAAAAAACAAAACCCAAAAATTCAGAGGTGTGAATCTCAACCCTCAATATAAATAAGCACATGAGGGGAGCTGTATCTATCGGCTTCTCTCCCAAGCCATCACCCCATTTCCATTCTGTGCTTGTCCTTTGAGTCTTAGCTTCTGTACTGACCACTTGTGTTTCTAGTTCAGAACATGATGGGTTTTCAGATTAAAGTTAAAGGGGTGGGGAGAAGCCACATCAAAGGGCTCAGCAGGGAAAGGTCCTTTCTGCAAAGGGGCCACCCCAAGGACCCCTACAGAGGAAGAAGGCTGGACTAGCGCTCACACGCACACATCTACAGCTTGAATCCGCATATGCCATCTGGCTTAGGTGACCCTTACTGATAGAGACTGTGAAAACTGGAATCGTCTCTCTACTCTGGAGTCATTGGGTAACTTGAAAATGATCTTGACGCTCTCGGGGTCATCTGCAGGTGGCTCAGGAGGCAGGCGCTCCAACTTTCTTTCCTTTTCCTCCTGCAAGTTCTAGAGACACAGACAAAGAAAGGTTGAGATAAGGCTCAGATAGGGAAACAAGAAACCAGAAATACATGGCCATGTAGTTTATTGCTCATCAGGAAGAAAATTAGTGGACAACTACTGTAGGGCAACTCTCCTGGGGGCCAGCAGGATAGCTCAGCAGGTAAAGGTGCAAGCCTGAAGACAGACCTGAGCTCCACCCTCAGAAACCATGTCAAGGGCGGAAGGAGACAAGGGTCCCCCAGAGCCATTACCTAGCCTCCATAGAAGCACGCAACTTGGTGTGCCAGCACTCACATTATAACATATACACAAAATAGACACAATCATATTGACTGTTTCACTGAGCAGGGTCTCACTACGTAGCCCTGGCTGGCCTAGAACTGGATATTTAGATTAGGCTGGCCTCAAACTGACAGAGATCCATCTGCCTCTGCTTTCCAAGTGGTAGGATTGAAGTTGTGTGCCACCACATCTGGCTGAATAAAGTGATTAAAAACAACCAACCCCTAAAAACCCACTTGGCAAGAATGGAGAACCAACGTCACTGAACGACCTGAGTATTTGGAGGGAAAGGATCCTGGCTGTAAGCAAGCAGCAATACACAGTGAAACAACACTGTGAGCCAAATGCCAGTCGGCTAACCCCGAAACCAGGAACAAGTAAGGTGAGAAACAGGTTGCCACCACTGCAACAGCACTGTGCTTCACCCGCGAGGACAGGACGGGCTCACCTGCCGCCTTCTCTCCTCTGCCAGCTTCTGCTGCTGCACTTCCTCCTCCTTTCGGCGTCGCCGCTCTCGCTCCTCTCTCTTCTTCCTTTCTTTCTCCTGGTCCGCCCTCAGAGAAGCCAGGTAGGCTTCATCCTGCTGCTGTCTCAGCACTTGGGTCTGGTTCCTTTCTTCCCTGCAAACAGATCAAAAACACACCAAACCAAACCCTAATTTCACGAAGCTGTTCTCGTCCTCCCCTCGCACTCTCTCTAGGGATGGCACCCAGGGCCATGCAGTGCTAGGCAAGGACATTTCGTGACCGTGTTCCTCCCATTTCCCATGTCTTGAAGGTTGGCCCCTAGCTTGAGATCCTCCTGCTACTGCCTTTCAAGTACTGAGATTAGAGACACGCCTACCCTGCCCAGCTCCTGGTTTTTATTTTATTAAAAAAATATTTTTTTATGAGACAGTGTCCTGGTTGCTGCTATTTGTCAATCTGTCTCAAGCTAGAGTTTCTGAGGACAGAGAAACACAACTGAGAGAATGCTGGCTTCTAGGCAACCCTGTGAGACATTTATTTCCTCCCTCCCTTTTTTATTTTTCCAGGCAGGGTTTCTCTGTGTAGCTTTGGAACCTGTCCTGGAACTCACTCTGTAGACCAGGTTGGCCTAGAACTCACAGAGATCCGCCTGCTTCTGCCTCCCAAGTGCTGGTATTAAAAGCGCACACCACCACTGCCCAGCATTGGGGGGGGGTTTCTTAATTAGTGATTGAGATAGAGAGCCCAGTTCATTAACGGCAGGGCTTCCCTTGTGTTAGCAGTTCTGGATTCTGTAAGAAAACAGGCTGAGCAAGCAGGTAAGCAGCATTCGTCCACGGCCTCTGCATTAGCTCCTGCTTCTAGGTCCCTGCCTGCTTTGAGTTCCTACTCTGACTTCATCAGATGATGAACTGTGATATGGAACTAAAAGCAAAATAAACTCTTTACTTCCCAATTTGCTTTTAGTCATGGTGTTTCATCCCAACAGCAGAAACCACAGGGTTTTATATATCTCAGGTTGGTCTCAAAACCCACTATGTGTTCAAGGATATCTTGAACTTCTGATCCCTTTTCCCAAGTGTTAGGATTCCAGGCAGGATCAAACTTGGGGTCGGCATACCAGGGAAACACTATACTAACTCAGCTACATTTCCAGTCTATGTTCTATTTCCAGTCTATGTTCTCTTACACTGAAGATTTGGTGGCATGGTAAAAATGTTGATCCATGGGAGCTGGAGAGATGGCTCAGAGGTTAAGAGCACTGGCAGCTCTTCCAGATGACCTAGGTTCTAGTCCCAGCAACCACATGGTGGCTCACAACCATCTGTAATGAGATCTGGTGCCCTCTTCTGGCCTGCAGACATATATGAAGACAGAGCACTGTATACATAGTAAATAAATAAATCTTAGGTCAAGCATTGGTGGTGCACGCCTTTAATCCCAGCACTGGGGAGGCAGAGGCAGGTGGATCTCTGTGAGTTCGAGGCCAGCCTGGTCTCCAGAGCGAGTGCCAGGATAGGCTCCAAAGCTACACAGAGAAACCCTGTCTCAAAAAACCAAAAATAAACAAATAAATAAATAAATAAATAAATAATCTTAGAATAAAAAAAAAAAATCCACAAAGGCATTTCAAAAGCAGTGCAGAACAGGATATGAAATGAGTTCCATTTTTCCTCAGTGGCAGGGTTAATGTGGGATTTGGTCAGGATCAGAATTTGGTGTCAAAGACTTTGTAGCAAGTCTTACCTCACTGGCTCCTCACTTCCTATGTGACAATTTCATGGATTTATATAATAAACAAATAAATGAGTTTCGGCTCTCAACAAGAGGGTCAGAAGTGAATTGATTACGCAGACACCCAGCTTGTCCACTGCTGCAGAACTAACTTGTCTGGATTGTGGGCGAAACCCTTACACATCTGGAGCAGAAGTGATCTGTTCTGAGTATGGCAAGAGAAGCAGTCCTTGTGTTTGTTTTCCAGTATTATCCTCAGAGTAAGCAGACAGAGGCATGAACAAGTGTTTACGGCATTTAAACTACCCTACAATTATGACTGCCTTCAAATTTCTTTGACTTTCCCATTTCAAATTTTCTATAATTTGGGGAGGAGTTATAACCAGTCCTCCTCCCTTTTCACATTACGATCTTTCTACAATGTTCAGATTCTAAACTATTTTTCAACAGGAAGCAAAGGCTTTTAAAGCTCCTAAGACAACGGAAAGAAGTTTGTGGAACCCCAAGTCAGCCCTTTCAACACATCTGTTTCTTTTAAGAAAGGAACTCCCTGGTACCTTTCTAGTCGTTCTGACACCAGGTAAGTCTGGTTTGCATCCATAATAAACGTCAACTGGTTGATGAGGTCATCAGGTTGAATGAGGCCTTCTAGCCGGCCCACCACAGTCATGCGGCGATCCTTCAACATAATCATAGCCAGGAACGGATAGGTGTTCTCTCGTAAAGCCTGTGAGACTGTCAGAGAGACCCAAGAGACCCAGTAAGACTTAAGTATGAAACAGATCAACCCCCAGACTTGGCATACTGACTGACAGAATGCTTTACTCATGGCTGGGGAAAAAAGAAAAGTGCCACTTCTTCTCTTCCTATTTTCTTTTCTACTTGTTTCTTATTTTTTTAATAATAACTGATGGTGGCTCACAACCATCTCTAATAAGATCTGGTGCCCTCTTCTGGCTTGCAGGCAGACATGCAGGCAGAACACTATACATGATAAATAAATAAATCTCAAAAAAAAAAAAAAAAAAGAAAGAAAAAGAAAATAGCTTTAAAAAATAATAACTGCTGGAAATACACTTAAAGATTTATTTCTTTTTCATGTATATCAGTGTTTTGTCTCCATGTATATATGTGTGTAACATGCAGGAATGGTAACTGCAAAGGCTGGAGGAAGACATTAGCTCCCCTGGAACTGGAGTTACAGATGGTTGTGAGCCACCATGTAGGTGCTGGGAATAGAACCCAGGTCCTCTGGAAGAACAGCCAGTGCTCTTAATCGCTGAGCCATCTCTCCAACCCTCTACTGTATTTCCCCCTACAGCTGTGTACAGAGATCAGAGGACAGCTTTCTGGAGTTGGTTCTCTCCTTCCACCATGTAGGATGAACAAACTCATATTGTCAAACTTGGTGGCAAGTGCCTTTTCCAACTGAGTCATCTCTTTAGCCCCTATCTGGTTTCTTCTTCATCTGTTCTGTCACGCGTTTGCATTCAGAACTGAGGTGAATGATTAGAATAGGACAAGCCTTTTTGATGAGTCATTATCATCATGCTGGCAAATGTTGCAAAGAATTAAAGTCTATCAATCTCGATCACACTTCAAAACGTGCTAATCGTATGCTCTTGAATCTTAATGTTAGTAGTCTCAGACTGCTTCATAAAATCAAAGAAACAATACAACCTTCATCTCTCAGGACTACTGACAAAATTAAATGATATAAATAAAAACTATGAGTAGCATTATGTCAACCACAGAACAACCACCCAAGAAATGGCAGGGTATATTTTCCAGACTCCCCCAAGGCTATTCTGGTACTCTTGATTAGGCAAAAGAAACACCACTCACCCCTGTAACCCTCGGGTTTGTTTGTAGAACAAGCCCAAAAGAGCATCCTGCTGTTTATCAATGAGATGACTTCAGGTGCACACAGAGTGTTGCTATGGGACAGGACGAAAACAACATGAGAACAATTCGCCAACTGTAAACTGTCAAAAAAAAAAAAAAAAAAGGTCAGGAAAGAAAGTGATTCATCTACTTACCGACAGAACTCATCGGAGTCCTGGTGGTCATCTCCATGAAGATAAACCAAAAGAAATCGCAGTTCCCGCTTGGCATCGTTAAGTGCCTGCGAGAGAGAGAAGATCACCACTCACTATTAAGATCCTGGACAACTCCTGAGGCCAAGGGTCCAAATGCATATAACTATGTGTTAATCAAATCTACAACAGCAACAGAAAGGTGGGGAGGGAAATAAGGGGGAAGAGAGCAGGAAATTAAGTGTTTCTCAGACTTCCCCAACCCCCAGAATTTTTCTCCCTATAGAGTCCAAGCCAACAAGCTCTAATGAAACAGGTTTTAGTGTTGTTAGACTTTACACTGCACCAGGCACATGAGAGTAGACAGGGTAACACAAACAAGTCAGAGAAAGTCAGCTGTTTTCATGGTTTAAAGATAAAAACAGGAGACTGTGACTATGTAAAAGCTACTTTGCAGCCATAAAGTTCTTGTTAATAAAAAAAAAAAAAAAAAAAATAGCTGCAAAAATCAGTTGGATCCAGCAGAAGACAAGCAAGAACGAAGGACCAGGGCACCCAAAGGCTTTCTAAAGAAGATCTTCTAAGACAAAGCAAGTGTCCATGGGTCTTGTGTCACCCATGGTATCCTCCTGAGTACCCTCCACTCTAATTTCCATGTTCTCAATGGCTGGCCGTAGTCTACCCTCAAGATCATACAAACAAGTGCTTCTCTCCCTCATCCCTGTTACCTGCAGCCCTAAGCAGGGGTCCAGACTCTGTCTAGCAGGTATGTGTAATGTTCCCTGAGTGGGACAGCAGCAACCACCAAGAAGACCAACTGTGAGGAAAAGCAGATGTGGGGGACAAAGCAGAAGGAGGGTGACCCTGCCTTCTCCCGCTAAGAATCAGAAATCCTGGACACTCCTGAACAGAATCACCTTTTAACTACATCCATGGTGTTGATTCTTTATTTTCCTCTGACATACTATGTATCCCTGTCACCCAGTTCTCCTCCCTGAAAGGTGACAGCTGAAATGGCTGTGGCTTAGTTTGAGTAAAATGAGCCACCTTGAGCCTATGGTCTACATTCTATTCAATTCTATAAAGGATCGAAACAAATTCAGGTTTTGCCTTCTAGGTGTGTACATTCTGATAACAGCAAAGACGGGAACACAAATCACTGTAAGGAGGAATGTAAATTGCTACAAATTTAAAATAGAGGGATGGAAAACAAAAGGGCAGGCCAGTGCTTTAGAAAGCAATGTAGGGCCAGACAGGGAACAAATGGGATGGTTAGGAGAGGACGGCATGAGCTGGTCTGAAGGATAGGCAAGATGCCATTAGTCATAATGTTAGAAGGACATTGGGGGGGGTGGGAGCGAGCGATAAGCAAGGCACTGAGGTGGGGAAGTGTTCAGGGAAGGGTGTGGTTGGAACGTAGGGTGTGAGGAAACCAGTTATGCAAAAAGACATCAAAAGAAGATTGGGATTAGATCAAAGAGGGCCTAGATGAAAGGTTCAGTCCTGTCTTTAAAGAACATCTCCTGGAACCAACGGAGAGCTGTCCAAGTTGCCTTCTGAGTGTAAACAGCAACACGACCAGAGCTAAGCTACACTGTCCTTTGAGAACAGCATCTTACTCTTAAGTTGGCATCTATTTGGTTTGTGGCACTGACCTGGCTGTACGTTCCCTGGTAGAAGACAGGGTGTGCCCTCCCATATTTCTCTTCAAAAGAGTGCATAAATGAAACAATGTCCCCAACAGGGTCAGTGACCCGGCTGCGAGGGTCAGGCCGTATAAAACGAAGAGCAAACCTAGGGAGGAAGGAATAGATATCACATGAATCGGCTTCCTGTAGAGCACACGGAGCGGGCCAGTTTGTGCAGGCGTTTACAGCTGAGCCAGAGGCATGGGTGGGGCAAAGGGAAGCCAATGGTGAGTGAGTGAGCGCCACCAGACCCGAGGGCAGAGCCCGGCTCAAAAGCCACAAAGCTGCCAAGTGTTCCACTGTCTGCTCAAGAAGAATGCACACCACTAGGACAACATTCCCATGCTGGCCTAAACCACCCCGAGTGCTTTCTGCAGAAAGCAGGGCTAGAAGGACTTGGTAAGGAGGGTCCCAATCCTAGGCACTGTCTAACATAGCAGCCACTAACTGTTTATGGCTATTATAAATTTGAATACATTAAGTTAAATACAGTTAAAATTCAGTGCCTCAGTCACACCTGCCATGTTTTTAAGTGCTCAACAGATATATGTGGTTAGTGATTTCCATTCTGAACAACAGAGATGAAGACTGCATCTTACCAAAAACAAGTGCACTGGACAAAAACTGCTCAAAAGGAGACACCTCTTTCTGGATCTTCCTACTTGCAGCGCCCTCTCCTTTAGTTCTTCTGGGATTTTGATGTTTTAACTCACACTCTCAAGTTACTCATCAATAGGGACTTCAAACCTGAATTTAGTCACAACTTATTTGTTCTTCAAAGGGGCAGGTAAATTTGCTCGATGTATTTACACTAATGTCATCCATGGAAAGAGTCATAAAACTGCCCCAGATGTGGAGGACTGGTGGCTACTTTTGATTCAAGGATGCATTGCCCATACATCTATTCCTAAAGAGCCCATCCTACCACACTGTACCGTACCCTTTCTTTATGCTTTGGGTTTCCATGCAAGGCAGTGGGGTAGAGGATGAAGTGGTACATTTCACATTAGGTTGTCTGGATGACACCACTGCATTAAAATTAGTAAAACATGCCATGCAAACAATACTCATTTACTTGAATTTTTAGCATAGGATAAGATGACTACACTCTGATGCTTTCTTTACCAATTCTTGAGCCGATTCTTAATACTTTAACAAATTCTCCATGTATATGGGATGATACTCAACTTTCCCTGAGTCATCAGGCCAAATTCATTAATACAAACATTCCAAGAAAATTAAAGACAAAATGTAATTACTTTTATCTATAGGGAAGCAGTTACAAATGCTTCAGAAGGCTGGTGCTTGGACTGTTTTTCTAAAAAGGTTATTTAGGGTTATCTTTTCTCAAGTGTCCAAACTCTAGGAAGGGGGCGGGGCTTTATGTTTACTGTGTGTCATTATAATGTGTTTCCACAGCCAATGTAATGTAAGACAGATGTGTCAACTCAGTTTTCATTGTGATTTTCAAAGATATTATGGTTCCACATGCCCATCACTGAGTAAAACAGAGATGGGAAAACTACAGAGCAGGTAGCCAGCCACTAAGAGGTTTCTGACAGCCAGGCAGTGGTGGTGCACGCCTTTAATCCCAGCACTGCAGAGGCAGAGGAAAGTGGAGCTCTGAGTTCTACACCAGCCTCGTCTACAGATGGACTTCCAGGATGGCTAGGACTACACAGAGGAAAAAACAAACAAACAAACAAAAAGAACTTTGCTACAGCAAGGATGCAATTAAACAAGAGACCACGAGAAACTATTACCCAATCCCTGAACTTCTGCAATGGCTGGGTCCTTACTTCCAGCCTCTGCTACTCAGAACAGAAGCTACCCTGAATCTGAAAGGGGGCACTTTGTATTTCCAGCTCCACCTGCTGGCCTGGATGTCACGCTCATTCATTCATGCTCTCTCCACCCTTACCCAACTCAAAATCCTCTTGCCTCCTTCCCAATACAATCATAGGTGCGTGCTAGCACACCTTGTCTCTAGTGAGTATCTCAGTCTCACACAAAGTCTGGGCACAGCTCCAGACCACAGTCTGTGCTAAGCTTGCTCTGCCACAAGTCAGGTCACAGTTATCATCTCCTAGCTCTGGACACACACCACAGCTCCCCATGGTAAGTTCTTTGAATGGTACACGAAGAAAGCTTGATGGTGAAGGTATGAAACAAGTGGGTGTATATGCAAAAGGGTTCCAGTGTTGGCAACCTAAGCATTACTAAGGCAGAGGGAAACGTACAAAATATTGCCTAGAAAGATGCCAACAATCTATGGCAAAGTGGGTATTCTCAGAGCAAGAAACTCTTGTGGGACTGTGAACAGTGAGGCAGAGGAGAAGGGGTTTGGGGTAGAAGCTCCTGCAGTATGAAGTTAGGGGATAGATAATGGTGGTTAGAAAGGAAAGGGCATGGTGATTAACCAGGGAATGACAAACACGGTGGGGAGGAGGGATCAATAAACATAGGCAGACTGGTTTGAGTCTTACAAACAACAGCCAGGACTAATTTAAAGTCATTTATAACACCTTCCACTATGCATCAGCTTAAAACATTTTTTTTTTTTTTTTTTTTTTTTTTTTTTTTGCTGTAGAAAAAAGAGAGTGCAGGAAGACTCAATGTGGTAACTAACTGGCCAGCCAGAAATGACCGAGCATCAAGTGCACTCTAGCCTAGTTTCAGCTTCAGAGCCTACCTACCCTGTGGCGAGTAGCGTATAAATACCAAGGTACATACCTAAATATATCAAGTATCGTGTAATAGGTAAACCGGAATGGAAGCATTATCAAGTAATAACCCCATCCAAGCAGCCCCTGAAATTCCAAAAACAAAGTTAGAGACCCCACTCTCTTGAATGTCCAACACTTCACAAAATGGCTAGTTCATGTTTCCACGCCCCCACCCACTATGGTGACTCCCCTCTCTATAACACAGGGTCCTCTTCCTGGCAATCTCACCCTTAAATGCTATGCTTTTAGTATTATTTCATCTAAGACTATTATTTTCCCCACAGAAATTTTGTCTTTAATCTCCATAACATCTTCCAGCAACGACTCATATTCATGTTCAACTTCTTCCCACAGGATAAATATTCATTCTTTCCATCAGACATTTAAACATCAATATATGGCACATAGAAATATCAAGCGATAATTGTTACTTTGGGAACCTGTATACAACAATAAGTCTATTATCACAAGAACAAATCCTTACAGCTACTAATCTTTGTAATAGCACTAACTAGCCTTATCTTATATACAAACAGGGCTTACTGTCAGCATCAACATGTCCTATGTAATCATTGGAGTGAGCTCTAAAGCTAAATGGGGATCAGGGTCTCCATCACAAAGTAAGGCCAGTTCAAGAGAAGGAAATATGGGTATATAGAGAACTTAAGTTATGTATTGCTCTGGGAATATGGAGGGATGGTTTTTTTGTTTGTTTGTTTGTTTTGTTTTTGTGCTGCTGCTGTTGTTTTGTTTTGAGACAGGATGTCTCTATGTAGTCCTGGCTGTCCCACAACTCACTATGTAGCCCAGGCTGGCCTGTTTGGGGCAGCTGAATGCTAGCATTTCAAGCAGGGACCCTTAAACTTGGGAGATCTGCATTCGTCTACTACAGTCTTTCTTCTCTCCACCTATGGCTTTGTTTTCTGTAGTTTCAGTTACCTCAGACAACTGGGGTCTGAAAACATTAAGTGGAAAATTTAAACAAAAAACTAAATTTGTAAGTTTTCAACTGCAAATTAAGTAGTGTGATAAAATAGTATCCTCTGCTGTTCAGTCTCACTCAGGGAGATTCTCTTTACCCAGCAATCCATAAATAACACCTGACTATTAGTTCTTCGTAGCCATGCTGGTTAGCAGATATGTCAGGGTGTTGCTTGTATTCAAGTAATCCTTGTTTTTACTTTAAAAAAACAAAAAAATTGCTCCCTGCTAGGCATGGTGATGCATGCTTAGAGAGGCAGAGGCAGGTAGATCTCTCTGAGTTTGAGGCAGCCTGGTATACATAGCAAGGTCAAAGCAGGGCCATACAGTGAGACCCTTCTCAAAACAATGACAACAAAATGGCCCCAAACTGATAATGCTGGAACTGACATGGAGAAGGGATATCACAAAGTGATCCATTTAAATGAAAAGGTTAAGTCTTAAGCCAATAAACCAAGCTGGGCGTTGGCAGCGCACACCTTTAATCCCAGCACTCGGGAGGCAGAGGCAGGTGGATCTCTGTGAGTTCGAGACCAGCCTGGTCTACAAGAGCTACTTCCAGGACAGGCTCCAAAGCCACAGAGAAACCTTGTCTTGAAAAACAAACAAACAAACAAAAAGCCAATAAACCATATGGTGAGGTTGCTAGAATCTATAACCAATATTTTTTTGTTTTGTTTTGCTTTGTTTTGTTTTTCGAGACAGGGTTTCTCTGTGGCTTTGGAGGCTGTCCTGGAACTAGCTCCTGTAGACCAGGCTCCTCTCAAACTCACAGAGATCCACCTGCCTCTGCCTCCGGAGTGTTGGGATTAAAGGTGCGCGCCACCAATGCCCAGCTTACAACCAATCTTTTATTCACAAAATTGTGGCAGAAATCTGTAAGCTTTGCTGCTGTACCTTAAACAGCAAAAGTGACAGCAAATGCTTGATGAAGATGGAAAACAATCATGAAATAAGGCTTAGTAGTCCTGGAGTTTAGGTACCTACTGAAGACCTTGCAAGTGCCTCCACTAAGGAAAAAGGTGTAACTAAGCCCCACATTTATCTGCAGACACAGCTACACTACACTGTCATCTGACACAGCTACACTACACTGCCCAGGCTGACCTCAAAACTTGTGATTCTCCTGCCTCAGCACTCTTTTGTTGTTTGGGTGCTTTATTAACTTTAATTTTATGTGTATGGGTTTTTTCCCAATATGATGTCTGTGTGTTATGTGTGTGCCTGGGGCTTGTGAAGACTGGAAGAGGGCACTGGATCCCCTGGGACTGGAGCTACAGATAGTTGGGAGCTACCAGGAGGGTGTTGGGATCCAACCTAAGTCCTCTGAAAGAGCAGCCACGTGCTCTTGACTGCTGAACTATCTCTGTAGTCCAGCCTTTTTGTCTCCCTGAGACAATGTCTCACAATTAGAGCTAGGTAGTCTTCGAACTAGAGATGCCCCACCTCGGGCCTCCTGAGGGCTAGGATTACAGGCATGCACCACCATCCAAAGTCACTTTTGAAACATTAAACACTCCATACACACATACAAAAAAAAAAAGTATGATATTGGAGTAATTTTAATTGCTCTAGGATTGAATGAAGTGCTTTTTTTTTTTTTTTTTAATTCTAGATGCATGTTCAAGGGGTGAATGTCATCACTCAAGGATAAAGAAGGTTAAGCTCCAGAAAGTTCTTTGGAGTTCATGACCACTTATATATTTTATCTCCTTAAACAGACATGAGAAATCAGATTGTAAATAGGAAAGCTAAGACCAGGGGAGCCATGGAGCACACAGACAATATAACCTGGACTACAGAATCGGGTCAACAGGCAGAGGTGTGCCCACTGTCACCTGACGACTTGAGTTTGAGCTCTGTGACCCACATGGAAGGAGAGAACTGACTCTGCAAGTTGTCCTCTGACCTACATACACACATATACAAAGAAATAAAATGATAAAACAATACTTATAAGAGAAAGGAAAGGGGAAGAGAAGGTACATGTGACAGTAAATGAGCTCTCTGTTAACCTCCACACACGCTAGTCGCAGTCAACTGGTGCATTTTGAAATGCCTAAAATTTAAGTGGCCCCTCGTTACCACCAGCCCTTCAGGGCCAACTTCAAAACTGGCACAGGGTCCCTAAAGATTCTAAGCACTGCCTTAAAAGTAGCTGAAGTCTCTCTGAAGAGCAGATGAGAGGTGGGGGGGGAGCGGAAGTAGAGGAGGGAAAGGGAACTAGAATCGGGATGTAAAAATAAAAATAAAAATAAATAAAAAAGGAAAGAAAGAAAAAAAGTAGCTGATGTCAAGTAAACTGTGGTCACAAAGAACTTAGATTTTAATTTAATGGTGGGAAGTTGCCAGGTATAGTAGATTCATGTAACAATTCTACAACAAAAAGGCTGAGGTAGGAAGAAGGTCCAAGGTTTGAGTCAGCCCATCTACAAAATGGGTTCCAATTCTGCTTGGGCTATAGTGAGCAGCAAATCAGTCTGGGTTATTTAGTGAGCTCCTGTCCAGCCTAAGCTATATAATGACTTCCAGTCCAGCCTGGGCTACAGAGTAAAATCATGTCTCCAAATGAAACAAAATCTCTCTCTCTCTCTCTCTCTCTCTCTCTCTCTCTCACACACACACACACACACACACACACACACACACGCTGAAGAGATGGCTCGGCGGTCAAGAGCACTTACTGCTCTTACAAATGACCCAGGTTTGGTTCCCAGCACCCACATGGTGGCTCACAAGAGCCCATCTCCAGTCCCCAGGGATGCAGTGCCGACCCTTCAGGTTTCCATGGACTCCTGTAGGCATGTGGGCACAGACATATGCTCAGAAGCAGCTCCATATAGCCCAAAGCAGACATTTCAAAAGCAAGCTGCTCAAAACAAGGTACAGAAAACACTCTCAGTAAAGAACAGAAAATAGTTCCTATAGTAATTCATTAACAAATCCAGGGAAACCGATGAACCCATTAAATCTTCCAAGGGTCCATAGCTAACAAGTTTATACTGTCAACATTTCTTTGGCTCTCACACAAAGATAACAAAACCAGATGGGGTGAAATCATTAAAAAGGGGAATATTCTAGCTACAAAACTTGCCCTTGGCTGTGGTCTTGAGACAACATAGCTGTAGATCCTGTGATCAGCTGTATTAACCTGTAGGGGTCGGGAAGGAGGTGGATTGAAAACACTCGGCACACCCTCTTGCTCGTTCAGTCTGTCCTGGACTGCAGCCTGAGAAAGAAAACAGAATGCAGAACTTCAGTGATGCTCACATCCACCCAAGAGGAAATGTCTCAAAATAAGGTGAACATTACATGATGGTCATGCCAAGGGACCTTTATTCTGCTGTGCTATGGGGCAGTGAAAATTCTCACAACAGGCAACTTGTCTTGAAGCACATTACTACCATTAGCATGTGTTCTGCACAATGGCTACAAAATAATGGGCTTTACCATACAATCCCAGGAAAAGCAGCACACAGAACACAGCATGGCAGCACCTCCAGGGCCGTACAGTGGGCAGTACTGATTGTTAGTATCTGATAGACAGTTTTGGCAAAGAGAATGTAGTCTGAATACAGCTCCACAGCCCAGAAAGAGACTAACTTACAAACCTTAGATTCTTTTTTTTCCATGTTTTTATTCATCTATTTATTTAAATCCCAGCCACCGCTTCCTACCCATCCTCTGCCTCCTAGTCCCCCCACCCCAACCGAATTCCCTCCTCTTCGGTCTCCATCCCATGAGTATCAACAAAACATAAGCCTTAGATTCTTTATGTGCAAAATTGAAGAAACTTAATGCTTGGAATTAATCTGAAAAAAAAATTTTTTTTGGTAAATAAACAGATTTTTTTTTTTTTAAAGTAAGAAAGTCTTCAAAGTGGAAGGAATTTGAAGGGAGAGTCAACTTAATCTGAAAATCTGAATATTCAGGACTTGGGATGTAGCTCAATTGATGAGTGTTTGCTTGCATGTATGAGGCAGAAACCACTGCTATAATCCCAGAACTCAGGAGGCGGAAAAAGGAGGATCAGAAGTTTGGGGTCATCCTGGGCTACATAAGGAGTGAAGTCTGGCCTTGGCTGGAGATTCTGTCTCAAAAACAGAACAAAATAAAACCTGTTTTCAAATCCTGTTCCACAATGTTTCTTAACTGGTTTTAACCTCCATCAGTATCCTATCAAACACTATTATCAGGCTGGTTGGTTGTGGCGCACGCCTTTAATTCCAGCACTCGGGAGGCAGAGACAGGCAGATCTCTGTGAGTCAGAGGCCAGTCTGGTCTACAGTGCCAATTCCATGACAGGCTCCAAAGCTGCAGAGAAATCCTGTTACGAGAAACCCTGTCTGGAAAAACCGAACCAAAACAAACAAAAAACAAAAATCAAACAAAACAAAAAAACTATTATCAAGAGAATGGGACAGTCATTTTATAATTCATTTGAATTCACAGTTGGTGTCAGAAAGAAGAGTGGTCTTTGGGAGGGCTGTGTATCCTCTAAAATTGATAACTGGACTTAACCTTTATGGTTTGACTAATTCCAGGCAATTAAATCACAGTCAGTGGGAAAAGAATAACTTTTCAGGTCTGGCAGACTGGCTCAGTGGGTATCTTAATTAGCTTTTTGTCATCTTGGTTCAAGCTGGGGTCATCTGGGAAGCGGGAACCTGGACTGAAAAGATGCCTCCATGATACTTGCCTATGGGCAAGTCTGTAGGGCATTTTCTTGACTCATGATTGACGTGGGTGGAAGAGGCCACCCCTGGGCAGATGGTCCTGGATAATATAGGAAAGCAGACTGAGCAAATTATGGGGAGAAAGCCAAGCAGCTCCCCTTCACAGCCTCTGCTTCAGTTCCTGCCTTGAGTTCTTGGTCTGACTTCCCTCGGTGACGGACTGGAATGTGGCAAATTGCTTTGCTCATGGTATTTTTATCGAAGCAACAGAAACACTAGCTAAGTCAGTAGCTAAATGAGCCTGCTGTCAGGCTTCACCTTCCGAGTCTGAGCCCAGGACCTACATGGCAGAAAGTGAAACAGAGTCATAGAAGGAAGAAAGTCTGGAAAGACACACACTGTGCTTCTTCCTAAAAAGTGGAAGAATTTTGTGTTTAAACCTTTTTATTTTTGTTTTGTTTTTGGTTTTTGAGACAGGGTTTCTCTGTGTAGCCCTGGTTGTCCTGGAACTCACTCTGTATATCAGGCTGGCCTCAACCTCCTGCCTCTGCCTCCCGAGCGCTGGGATTAAAGGTGTGCGCCTCCACATCCCAGCCAGTATCAAGAATCTAAACATAAAGGTGGCTACAAAACAAAAATTAAAAAAAAAAAAAGGCTCCAAAAAAAGAATCCAAATATCTAAGTTTTATGCTAAAACTAAAATGAGAATTTTGTTTTCATGGAGTTTCCATTCTAGTTACATTCTAGTAGAACTACCTCAAAGCAACTAATGTTGCAAATGTAATGAATACCAGGGGCATGGTGGTGAGAACACTTGTTGCTAGGAAGACATAAGGAGAGAGGCAATACATGAATGCAATTCTTTACTTTCATAGCTTCTATACTTCTACACATGTGTTTTAAACACAAAGAAGCTATAATTCTGATATCAAAATAAACAGCAGAGCCCTACAGGGAAAGGGCTGTACCAGCAGAACTGTAGGAACCCATACCTCCATGTTCCAGTTATGCTGCTCCAAAGCAAGGCGACACTGATCCATGGATTCTATGCCCGTCAGGTCCTGAAAGGAAGGGGAAGCACAGGTTACTACGGGGCTGGCTGAGATGGCAGAGTAAAGTCCTGGGTTCCGTCTCCCCACACAGCATGTGTTAGCAATCAGGAGGGGTAGGAAGAGGGGTCATTGTTGGTCACAAGAGGCAAAGGCAGTTCCAGGACAGGTTCCAAAGCAACAGAGAAACCCTGTCTAAAAAAAAAAAACAAAAACAAAAACAAAAAAAGGGGGGGGGCTGGAGAGATGGCTCAGCGGTTAAGTGCACTGGCCGTTCTTCCAAAGGTCCTGAGTTCAATTCCCAGCAACCACATGGTGGCTCACAACCACCTTGAATGGGATCTGGTGCCCTCTGCTGGCATGCAGGCAGACGATTGTATAGACTGTATACATAATAAATAAATAAAATCTTAAAAAAAAACAAAAAAGACAAACAGGAAACCCTGAGCATAGGGAACATGGAAATTTTATGTATTATCAGTGTATTTTTGTGTAAATCTAAAGGAATTTTGTTTTGTTTTGTTTTTCCAGACAGGGTTTCTCTGGGCTTTGGAGGCTGTCCTGGAACTAGCTCTTGTAGACCAGACTGGTCTCGAACTCAGAGGTCCCCCTGCCTCTGCCTCCGGAGTGCTGGGACTAAAGGTGTGCGCCACCACCGCTCAACAATCTAAATGTATTCTAAAATGAAGTTATTTAAAAGTGAAAGGGCTGGGGGCTGGAGAGATGGCTCAGTGGTTAAGAGAAATGACCATTTTTCCAGAGGTCCTGAGTTCAATTCCCAGCAACCACATGGTGGCTCACAACCACCTTGAATGAGATCTGGTGCCCTCTGCTGGCCTGCAGGCAGAAGACTGGATAGACTGTATACATAGTAAATAAATAAAATCTTTAAAAAAAAAAAAAAGTGAGAGGGCTGGCCATGTGGGTCAGTGGTAGAAGACTACTTTAGCACAGGGAACAAGACCTGGGATTACCCTATGATGACAGCAAAGAAGACTTAGATGCCTAGATTTCCCACTCCCTACCTATACAGAAAAACAACCAGGGGTAGACGGTTGTTTAACCAGCAGCTTAATCAGATTCTCTGCGGCACACGAAAAGGCTTTATTTATTTATTTGGTTATTTAGTTGTTTTTTGTTTGTTTGCTTGTTTGTTTTTTGAGACAGGGTTTTCCTGTGTAGAACCAGCTGTCCTAGGACCAATGCCAAGTGGCTCCCTTATTTTTTGTTTGTTTTGGGGGGGCAGTCTTTGTAGTTCTTTCTGACTTGAAGCTTACTATGTAGACCTTGCTATGACGGCCTTGAAATCATAGAGATCCATCTACCCCTGGTTGTTTTTCTGTATAGGTAGGGAGTTTCCACTAGATTCTACTGCATAACTACTACTGAGAATCACTAACTCTAAATGCTAAACTGGGCATATGGAGCACACCTTTATCGAAGCACTGGGGAGGTAGAAGCAGGCGGATGGATTTCTATGAGTTCAAAGCCAGACTGGTCTACAGAGAGAGTTCCAGCACAGCCAAGGTGACGTAGTGAAACCCTGTCTCGAAGGAAAAAAAAACAACAACAAAGAAACCTAAGTGCTGTGGGAATGACAATTAGATGTACATATATGTAGGGAGAAATCCCATGTATCTGTAGCGCTGACCACGCCTGTTTGGGTGTGGTCACAGATACATAGAAGGTGTGGGATAAAGATCGATGAGAAGCGCTCTGCGTTTTTTTGGGGTTCCGGTCAGGTCTCAAAAGGGTGCAGAGACTAACCTGGGTCTTTGGTGTAAGTAATCTTCCACAATAAAATACCAGTATCATTCTTATTACGTATCCTGTTATATTTCTGCTACATACTTACACCATTTGAAGTTGTTAGTAGAGTGCCTGCCTAGCATGCAACCACATAAAAACTAGGTGGCACAGCTGGCCATGGTAGTGAGCACCTTTAATACCAACACTGAGGAGGCTGAGTTAGGTGATCACTGAGTTCAAAGCCAGCCTGGGCTACACACAGAGAAACCCTGTCTCCAGGGGGAGAAAAAAAAATCCAAACCAAACCAAACAAAAAACCAGTACACTGTCTGGGCACAGCCCTGCAAGACTGCAAATTCAGGACCAGTCTAGGCTGCTGGGTGAATTCCAGGCAACTTTAGCTACACTGTGAGATCTGGTCACAAACACCATGATCATCGAGTCGAGGACCTCTTTGGGGGTGGAATGATCCTTTCACATTTGAAAGCCTTGATAGACACTGCCCAAGACAGTATGAAGTTTCCATAAAGACTATTTCAGTTTACATTGTCTAAAGCTGGTTTCCAGTGCAAGTCAAAATCTACCTTATTCCCATATAGTGCCAACATATTTCCCAATGCCAGAGGGGAGGGGAGGGGTTTTCCTTTAGCTTTGAAGTCACCTGTGCTGTCTCAGAACAAATGTGTTTAGCTATCATGCAACTTAAGGAAGGAAAGCTATATTGTGGCTCACAGTAGACGATGCAGTCCGTCGTGGCATGCACTACCAGGAAGCAGAGAGGATGAACTCGAACACTCACGTTCCCCTCTCCTTTATCCAGCCCAGGACCCCAGACTATGAAAAGGTGCTGCTCACTTTTCGGGGGGCGGTCTTCCTACCCCAGTTAACCCAATCTAGATAACCCCTCACAAGTACACCCAGACATCTGTTTCCATGGTAATTCTAAATCCCATCAAGTTGACAGTCAAGATGAACCATCACCAAAGTAAAACAGAAACAAGAAATGTTAGACTTAACCTCAGAGATTTCCAGTTCTTTTTTTTTTTTTTAAGATTTATTTATTATGTATACAGCATTCTGCCTGCACGTATCCCTGCAGGCCAGATGAGGGCACGAGATCTCATTACAGGTGGTTGTGAGCCACCATGTGGTTGCTGGGAATTGAACTCAGGACCTTTGGAAGAGAAGCCCCCACTCTTAACCTCTGAGCCATCTCTCCAGCCCGATTTCCAGTTCTTTTCGAAGTAAATTTGTTTAAAACTCAACAGATTATAAATCTGTCTTTAAAAAAAAAATTCTTCAGGAGGTAGAGGCAAATGGATCTATGTTGAGTTCGAGACCAGCCTGGTCTACAAGAGCTAGTTCCAGGACGGTCTCTGAAGCCACAGAGAAATCCTGTCTCAAAAAAGAAAAAAAAAAAAAAAAAAAAAATTTTTTTATGTCATCTGTGTGATGGACAGAAGATTGCCCTGGGAAGGGTGACAAATGGCTTTGAGCTTCCTTACATGAGTGCTAGGAACCAACGTCAGGTCCTCAGGAGGAGAAGCCAAGTGCCCTTAACCACTGAACCATTTTTCTAGCCCAGCCTATCATTTTTGTTTTTAAAATCAATTTTCTTTTTTAATGTGTTGGGGTTGAATCCAGGGCCTCACACAGGGTCAGTACACCCCCAGCCCTGCTTGTCAGTGGAATAGCCTTATCATACATTAGAAAATGAATACTGCAGGGTGGTGGTGGCGCACGCCTTTAGTCCTAGCACTTGGGAGGCAGAGGGAAGCGGATCTCTGAGTTCGAGACCAGCCTGGTCTACAAGAGCTAGTTCCAGGACAGGCTCCAAAGCCACAGAGAAACCCTGTCTCAAAACATCACACACACACACACACACACACACACACACACACACACACACACACACACCCCTAAAATTCATGACTCGGCCCCGTGGTGGTGGTGGTGGTGGTGGTGGTGGTGGTGGTAGTGGCATTTGAAGTAGCAGCAGCTCGTGCCTTTAATCCTAATGCTCAGAAAGCAGAGGTAGGTCTCTGAAGTCAAAGCCAGCCTAGTCTACAGAGTGAGCTCTGGGACAGCCAGGGCTACATTGAGAAACCCTTTCTCAAAAATCAAAAACAAAATGAAACCCTGACAGTTATTATTTTCTTCCCCCATTCTCATTCTCTCTACTTACATACAGGTAGAGGGAGGGTGTGTGTGTGTGTGTGTGTGTGTGTGTGTGAAACCCTGACAGTTATTATTTTCTTCCCCCATTCTCATTCTCTCTACTTACATACAGGTAGAGGGAGGGTGTGTGTGTGTGTGTGTGTGTGTGTGTGTGAAAGCGCTCACGTGAATGCCTATGGGAGCCATAGGGTGACCCTGGGTATTTTCCTCAGGAATCACTCAATGTATTTATTTGGCTTTGGTGTCACCACTGGCAGGCTTCTTCCTAATTTCTTAAGCATCACTCTTATTTCTACAGTTTCAGAACTATTTTGGCTATCTTCACTATATTGAACAATTCCATGAGAAAAATATCACCATCATGCCATTCCCATCAAGAGTTAAAAAGATCTGCATAGGAAGTCAGTGAACTGCAAGTTCCTAACTGGTTTGCTCCTCAGAGTAACCTTGGCTTACATTCAGATCCACTGACATTTGATGTCACTGGAGACAACACTGGAAGGAACAGTTGCAACTGAAACAAAGGCTCCTTCTCCCACTGATCAGCAATTGTTGCCACACCCCCTCGGGCAACCCATCTGAGTGTGTCTTACTCCCTCCTCCCATGAATGAACCCCCCTATGATTTAGGAGCTGCATTCAGATACAGTAATTTACACAAAATTATAACTGATGACAGCATTAGAGCGAGGTGGGTGACATTATTGCTGGGCACTAAAAGATCCCTGAATTCCAATCAGTCACAAGTCCTATATAGAGGGATATTAGGAGAGCTGTGTGAGCTACTTTCCTCCACCCAACCCTGTTCTAGTCATAAGTTGAAGGGATGCTCATCACTTGGAAAGCAGATACTAAATTATTATGATTGCTGATCTAGCTCTTAGGAGAGTCTAACTCAAGGAAGAAATCACAACAGGCTGGGTGTCTAACGATTTAACTGGTGGGAAACCAGGGTATACTCACCTGGTTTCCTAAGTGCTTCACTTCCCACATCTCAAATGTTTATAATAACACATTCTGTAGACATCTAAGTGCTCTATGCTCCAATTGGCTTGCTCGGGCTTATACTTTAAGTTATTCCCAGAGTAAAACTTGGCAAACAAAACATACACACAAACAACAGAAAAACAAGTAACCTTTGCTTTCTCCTTTCC